TTCTTATCTGATCTATTTGAATATAAATATATCAAATTAAATTTAAAGTAAAGTATGTATACATGTGAATATTAAAACGCCAAAATGAATGCATAATTTATATTCATTAAATATATCCAAAATCACAAAATATAAAAAATTATACCTCATTTAAGTTGTTGAAAGTAGTGACATATTTAATCTCTTGCTTTGGTTTGCCTAAATTCAAGTAAATATATTTGACTTATTTAGATTCAATACGATCTGATTAGATTTGATATCATTGAAGACATGTACCTCTTTTTATAATAATCCTATGAAAGTCGAAAGGAAATGATAATTAAAAAATTATTAAAAAAAATTGTTATGAACTTAAAACAAAAGATAGTTTTCTAAATATTCTTTGCACATAGTATAATATGAAAAAAGAATTTATAACTTAAACAAAGTTACAAAGTCGAATTTAAGATCTTTCAGTGTTTAATAATGTTAACATTTTTAGTAATCTTTATATATAATATAAATTTAATAAGCATTAATGATACTTACAATTTTTTTAGTATATCGTATAACAATATTTTAATATGATGACATTAAATTTAAAATATACACTTTTTTAGTATGATATGACTAATATTCCATCGTTATAATTGATAAAAAAAAAACTTTTGAAATGCTTATAGAATTTTAAAATATCAAAACACTTGGATAGAAAATTGTGGGTTGCGATAGAAAAACTTAAACTATTTGATTATGCAATTAAATTATTTACATAATTAATTTTTACCTATAATTTTGCGTTAAAACCGACATTCAAAATAAAATAAAATAAAAAAAGTTGGGAGTCTATGCATTCAAGAGCTTTCTTAATGATTAATAGTCATAATTAATTAAAAGATAAAAATTATCTTTCCTACAAATTAAAGGTAACAATACTAAGTAAATGTAAATTATAGAAATGGCAATAATCAATAAAATTAATATCTCAAAAATTATTAATATTCTATGAAAATATGTATTGAATCAAATTTGTAAGGGTTAAAAATTCTAAGATTAGGACACTCGAAATTTGGGAGAATCTAATTTTAGATTTTGATAATTTATTCTCTTTATCCAATGTTTAAGTGAAGAAATTACAAATTTTAATAAGCACCAAACTGTTTTTCAGACTGACAACTCATACCTAAATTTCTTGCAAGTGAAATTAACATTAGAATTTCCTCAAAACTAACATTTACTATTGTCCGACTGTAACAATAAGAAAGAAAATATGTTTATTAATCAACGAATATCATAAAAAAAATGTACAAGATTCGAGTTGAGGAAATAAAGTAAAATTTGTACTGCATGGATAACCGAATGCAACTAAATTTCAATTAAAAATATAATATTTGTAAAAAATAAATTGAAAATAACTATCCAATATAATAAATCTTTACATAATTCACATTATTCAAATTCATCATTGACAAAAGTAAAAATTTTATTATTGGTTGTTGTGCTACATTTAAAAAACAAGGAATGGCCATCATTCCAATGAAAAGAGACCATAAAAATTTATGATTAATAATTACACATCAACAATTACATAGAGAAAGTAAAATAGGAAGAAAAATAATTTATAAACACATACTCAGTATGTGATCTGTAAATGATGAATTATGGATTCATAATTGAGACTTAAAGAGTAAGGAAGCTCTTCTATAATTTTTTATTATTATTTTTTTTTCATTTTCTTCATTTGTGCTAAAACTTTTGTTGAAAAATATCAAATGAAGAAAAAATATTTATATTATGGACAATAAAATGTCCTAATTATGTATTTGATTAATAAAATATTTAAAAATTGCGATTATTGATTGAATTTATAATTTCAAAAAAAATTTTAGAAACGCAATACCATTTTAAATATGTATTGTTAGGTTTGAAAATATTTAATTGTGTTAGTAATTTTATTTTTCAATTATTCTATATATTAATATTAATCGACGTAATAAAATATGTCATTTCAAGTAAATTATATATATAAATAGTATTATGGTAATTTCTTTTAATTGTATGTAATAACATTTTTATTAATTGTGTGCTAATAATTAGTAATCATTGTATTCAGTAGAAATTAATTGACTTAATATTTGAAAGCAATAATAATTATTAATTATCTTATTTAGAAGTTATAAATAGAATATTAAGGTTATTTTTCACCACAATATAAAAATGTAAAAGTAAAATGCGATATCAAATGTTTATCATCCATTCACGGTTAGGTTATTGAAAAATAAATTTTTTTTGTATCATATTTTATCAAATTAATATAAATTAATGGTGATTAAAAAGTTGATGGATTATTATAAAATGACTTTTCATCTAATACTTATTAAGGAAACATTATTTAACGGGAATTTTTTTTTAAGTATTATGTTTTATTTTCAATGAAATCTTTTAGGAATGCCTTTTAATCTATAATATTTGATTTAAAAAAATTTAAGGTATATATACTTTTATTGTTTTAATAAATCTTATAAATTAATATTAATTAATTTAATAGTCTATGCCATTTCATGTTAATTATATATGTGGTGTTGTTATAATTTTTATTTTGTTTTATATAAGTTTTTATTAATCGTATACTAATAATTAGTATTAATAGTGTTTAGTGAAAATTAATTGACTTGATTTAAAAGATAAATAATTTTAATTTTAATATTAATATTAATTAAATTTAGTTGAAATAAATTTAATTTTAAGGATATTATTGGTCATAAACAAAAAAAAATATATAAGGATAAAATGGAAAAGTAAAGACATGAGGATAAATGAGGGTATATTGGACATAAAACTAAATATGTGAGGGTACAATTAGTAATCAAAAGTTTATCTTCAATCCCCACTTTTAATATATTCTAGATTATTTCTTAAAATAGAAAACTAAAAAAGACTTTTGGTTTGAAATTTCGAAAAATTGTTTTATGAAATTTTATTCAATAAAATTTGATTATTCAATAAAATAAAACTATTTTATGTTAATATTTTATTAAGTAATATACACATCCTAAACTTGGTGAATCTTAGAATATTTAATCTTGCGACAAAAGTATAATAAAAACAAATAATAAGTTGAGTTCAAAATATAAGAAATAAAAATAAAAATTCAAGAGGAAATAATTTTCAATACATATATGCTTTGCAATGACCATTAACGAACACATAATCTCATGGGCAACTATATGTCACACTTTTCGTAGGGTTTCAATGTAAACAACAAACATCTTGGTAAAAGCAGACAATAAAATTGTAAGATATGACAAAAAATATTGTGTATAAAGAAAAGTTTATGTAATAAAAATGTTACATTCAATTATATAAAAAATTTATTCATATATATTCTTTTTAACATTTTTAATTTTTCTTTTACAATATCAATTACTTCAACTATTTTCAAAAACTATATCAATACTTTAAAAATATTACACGTCATTCATCAGATACATAAAATGTTCAATGTACGTGCTTACTATTAGTAGAATTCAGAACACTTGAAATGAACTCGTAAAGCTTTCGTTAAGAGGTTATCACACTTCATTCACCATGAAAATGGGATTTTCAATGAAATAAATATATGCCCAACCAAGTACTTGGCCATCACTGAACACCCTTCTTTTTCACTTTCGATTATGTGCCCTTGTCATTTTTGTCTTACGCTAATGTTGGTTGAACAAGGCTATTGACAGGGGATTTAAACTAGGGCTGAAGTGCATCAATTCTATTCAAATCTCAGCCCTTGTTTAAAGCCATGTAAATAGTGGTAGCAGAGCTTGTCTTAAATAGCTTTCAGAAAAAAAAAATGTCATGAGAGGTAGTGCCAATTAGATAAGGCTTTTATTTTTGCTTCTACTTAAAGTCTTAGACCAATTTTTACTTTAAAAAAAAAAATTCTAATAGACAGCAATTTCAAATATTTATCCGAATAGTTCAAAAGAAAATTCTTAATCTCAAATTTAATTTTTGAATTTTCAAAAGTCATGCTAAATGGATTCTAACTCTTATATCATCTTCTAACAATTATTCTAGTTACATCTATTGAATCATTTCTACACACTAATCTTTTCCTTTTCAAGTGCCCTTTTGTCCTCTTACATAAGGTTGGACAAAACTCCCGAACTGAACAAAACGGGTCCTTTTAAGTTAAATACCCGAACCGGTATATAAATCGAGAATTAACGAGTTCGATTTAGTTCTCAGTTCTAAATAAAGAATCGAAAAATTAAATAAGAACCTAATTTCCCTAATTTTTTTAATTAATTTATTTTAAATAAGCCAAATTATTTTATTTTTCTAAATAAATTTGCTAACTAGTTAATTTAGCTCAAACTCAAAAATATAATTTTCCTATTTCTAATTTTCAGTTGAAAGCCAACTTAATCAAATTAATCTAAGTTTTATTCAAATCTGTTATTCTGCCGTAGTGTCTTTTTACAGTTCCGGAGAAATCGAATTAAAACTCGACAATACCTCTCTTAATTATTAAGAGCTCGTCATCTTCCTCTTTCAGTGATTTTAACAATCAAATATATGATGAACGCAACAAAGATAGACGTGAAAGACACATAAGATTAGACTACGTTAGTTTGTAAGTGCTAATATTGAACATATCATTAGTTGCATTAATATAACTTTGTAAATATTAAAAAATTTAATTATAATATGGAACCTGAGAATCGAATGGAATCGAGCAGAATCAAACTAAACAGAACCTAATTCAAATAGTTCCATAATTAAATTTGGGCCCATGACAATTCCACTTACTATATACTCAAAAATTTTGGGTCCGATTCGATTCTCATTAGAACCAAACCGAACGAGACCATGTCTAACCCTACTCCTACATCCATCAATTTCTTCAACAAACAATTTTCTTTATAAAGAAAAAGAAAACACAGAGAATAATTTGAACGTTTGAGCTCAAACCCATGGCCCAGCTTTTTTTTTTTTTTTTTCCTTCCCTCCAGTTGCCCAGCGAAGCCCACTAACCCATTAACCCAACATGATAACCCGAAAACCATAAAAATGATACAACCCATAACCCATTCCCAATTTCTGCCATTAAATTGAAATTATTGTATCAATTTGAGATTATCATTTTTCAACCACCTCCCGTCGCCCGTCTGCACCCCACTCTGGTGCCGCCTCAGTCTCAACCAATCAACCTCATCCTCCTCCTCCCTCTGATGACAAACTTCTATCTTGCTCAGTTGCTCCGTAACCGTAAGGTGTCCCGGTCCTGCCGGTCTTTAACCTTCATTGAAGGGTTGCAACGTTTTGGCTCTGGTGATTCTTCCGGCGGCAATGGACAGCCCTCACAGTAGAAGAAGAAGGTCTGATTCGTCTGAAGGTGAAGCCACAATTTTCCAAATTCCATTGATCCTGAATCCCTGATTGGCTGATTATTCACTAGCTCATTTTGAATTTTTTTTTTTTTTTTGCTTTATATATATATATATTTTTTTATTTTTTTTTGTGTTTTTTTGTTTTTTATGTTTTGGGGGCTTTTTTTTTTTTTTTTTTTTTAAATATTCTGATTTATGTGATTTGGTGGGTTTTTTTTTTTTTTTAAACATATGGAATTAGGCAATTAGCAACTCTTCAATTGCTCGAACTGGAAGCGGCATTGCCGTTTGCCATTGCCTTTGCATTGTGAGTTGCTTGCTTACTCTCTGTCACTGGAGTTTTGAAATACCATATATTGCCTTGTGAATGAGATTGTGAATCTGTAAATCGATGAATGTGTTGTCTTGTTGCCCTGTGAATTACTTATAATAGTGGTATTGCTATGGCTTATGTGAATGGAATTGTCCTGTGAATTACTTTTGTTTTGCCTTTTCTTATAGAATTGCTCCCAGTCCCAATAGAATTTATTTTTTTATCATCATTAAATCCATGACCAAAACCTTGACGTTCGGCGTCGAAAAAGTTTTGTCCGCACTGAATTAAAATCCTGGCTCCGCCTCTGGTGTGTTGCACGTTAATTGATTACTATTAAAAGCAAATGTACATGAAATGATAGGATTACGTGGATAAAATATTGAATCACAAATGATAGATTGTTGTGTAACTTTCAAAATTTGCTTCCATTTATAATTCATTGATATTAAAATGAGTGGTTTTAAATATATCTTGAAGGGCAAAAGAAACATATATTTCTATATGCTGGTACTACTTGTCTTGACATAACACACATTTTGAATGCATGAAAATTTAAAGCCCCATTCTAGAAGAGAAGCTGAAGCAAAATTATCATGTTAATCGAGAATTTATGTTAAGGAAGTCTACAAAACCAAGTTATCATGTTGACTTTTGAAGGATTACATGTCGAATGTGATCTCTAGATTCAATAAGAAACCCCAAATGCAATTCACGAATTAAGCATCATCTTATAATAGTGATTTTCACTTTGAACACAAAACCCCTCCCCAAATTGAACTAATAAACTAAATGTTGTCTCGTAATTGTCTTTAAAGGTTCACCTTAAACAAGTGATCTCAAACACAAAATTAATAAAAAGTTTAAAATCAATAAGAAAGTTAATTTTGCCTCATTGGAACCCATAATTTATTAATTTTACAGCACAAAGACCAATCAAATCATATAAAAATTATAAACTTTCCTTTTCTAGATCTTGATTGATTCAAGCATATAAGCTGACACTGAGTGAAAAAAAAAAAACGATACATGTTGATTTTTTCACATTGCTGTGAATTTAATCAAAAATCAGTTAATCATAAACACAAATTTAAAGTAAATTAAAAATATATGTAATTTAATTCAATATTTAAATGCAAATGTTAAAAATACCTTGGATTTTTGCGCAAAAATGGAGATGTAAGGGCTTGAATTTTCCCAATATTGGCAAAGTAGCTCGTAGAGGTCATTGTAAAAGTTGCACACCTTTTCAGTGTCTTATTAGTCAAACTCCATATTTCTCCAAATTGGCCAATGCAATGTCTCTAATATTTTTTGTATTTCCCAACGATTGAACTGAATAAGGAGGATTGTACTTCTTTAGTGATTCAGAAGAAGGGGAAACTCCTTCCCTGTATCCAACTAAAGCATGCCACGTATAAACATATCTGCATCACCTAGTACCTTTTAGCATTTACACATTTTATGAAACGGAAGATTAAGATCATTTTTAGTACTCTTGGCAGCTTACTTCAAACTATAGTTCTCTTTCCGAGTTCATGAGAAAGCGGGTGTCATTAATGAGATCACCAATCCCAATTGGAATTAGTTCTCTTTGATTGTGTGGATAAACTCTTTGAGATTAGAAGATGAACTGTCTGCCTTGGAGCCCCTAAACTTGCAATTTTCATTGATATCGCTTAATATAGTTTCAGATCTATGCAAAAATTAGTGATAGCACATTATTAGAACCATGATTTTTAAGGATTACAAAAGCTTTCAAGATCTTGCAAAGAGGACATACGGAGTTCCTTCAACAAGAGGTTAGCCTTTCTTCTGAAATTTATTTACAGTTTCTTGCCATCCATCATCTATGATAAGGAATTTAGGAAGGATCCCACCTTCTTTAAAATTGAAAATAAAATGAAAGTTTGTGTGATTGAGTAGATTGGTTGATGAAAACTTTTGATATGTAATTAAGGTTAAGATATCGAGCCTCTGAAAACCCTCTTTGATTCCATTAGGATTAACTATAGTGTAGAAAACATCAAACGTGCACCATCCAAACCAATCTAAGTGAGCAGGGGCCTGTTAGTAGAAATATGATGTGTTCTTAGATTCAATATTTTCAAAAATAGTTGAAGAAATTGTCTAGTTGGTTATGTGAGGTTGGAGGTGAGATATTTATTACCTTTTTCGTTATCAAGGTGAGAAAATGTACCATTGAGCTTAGATAATATCATACAAAAGTAGGAAACATAAAAATAACAAAATATGAAATTAGAGTAAACCACCTTAGTAAGTAAATAAATCTTATTGACAGTTGTAGAAACATACCTGAATCCTTGATAAGTTCAAATGGATTGTCTCCTGAGGTAATGAAAACTCCCTCCGGTGCTTGAGAAGTTTGGACATCAGGAACACCTTAAAATGCACAAACAAAACAAAATCATGTGGGGACCTTTATATTTCCTGGATAAACCAGTTAAACTAAGACTCAACCCGATGCGCTCGAGGAAAGGACTTGTAAAATATATATATATATATATATATATATATATATATATA